GCATTCATTGATTTTAGTCAGTTAGACTATATTTTCGCCGTCGTTGTGATCACAACTCTCCTCCATGCACGTATTAAAAAGATCTGATCTTGATAAGTAGAGGCGTTAGCAAAAATGAATAAAAAGACTATTACTTGAAAATAGGAACAACCCTTTTTTTTTTTGTCAGTGCTTGAACTCGCAGAACGGCTTCGAAGTCAAAACACGAAGGTGATTTTTCTAAATCTTTATTATAAGAGCAAAATATAATCCTTAGTCTGTATTCGCATAAGAATGTCACAAAGCTTACGGCCACATCACGTTAAAACACCGATTCCCGTAAGATCACCGAGGTTAAGACGCATCGGAACTGGTCAATAACTAGATGGGTGGCCACCAGGCGCTGTAAAATTGGATAGGGATGTAGTATAATGGATAGTGGCTCGGAATTGTTAATCGGAGAGCTGAGTTCCAATTACCATTGGGTTCGTTATACTCACATACACACAAAAAGTGACAAAACTAATTTCACCACAGAATTAATTTCAACTCGGAACTAATTTCAACTCGATTTAAAATCAAAGTTAATTTCCGTAAATTCCTAAAATAAAATGCAATGAGTTGTTAATTTTTTAAAAATTTAGCATTAAAAATCCTTAGTAGATAAGATAATTTAGAAATTATCTTTTCTGAAACTTTCATTTTTTTTTTTTTTGTAAATGAATAAAGTTGTACTTTTTTATTTGCTTTTATTACAAAACAGAATAGTGCAATGATTTGCCATTTCTTTTTGCACTGAGCATGTTGAGAATACCCCGTCTCTCCTCTCTGAGGTGGATTTGTTATCTTCCTTTAGCCTTTGTCTAACGGGGCACAACCTACAAACAGCAGGTGGTTTTAATTTCCTTCTCCTAGTCTGGTTGCCACCCAAGGCTATAGGACTCTGTCCTGCTACTTTACCTGGGTCGAGAAGAGCTAGATTCATACTTTTCCCAAGGGTATTAGCACGTAGATGAATGTCATTAACTCGACTGGAATTCGAACGCAAACACAATATTAGAGCGAAATAAAACAATTCTTGAAATATGAAAGAAATATAACAGAACAAGTGATTAGAAATCGAATATTGGTAGCAACTTGTCGTCATGGCAACAACGTTCGCTTGATTGTTTTTCGTGAATGCTGATTACATTTTTGTTCCGTTTTAAGTTCCAGCATCAGTCGGCCATCATTCTTTCGTCCTATCTTCCTTGTGTCCGTTCTCCCATAACTTTAATGTATTGATGGAATCTTTCACGTTGCTCATTACCGATATGAAAGAAATTAAATTATATCACTTACAAACACACTTTCTATCACAAAGGTTTGCTACAAACTATATAAAAGACTTTATATTGTTTTTATGCATAACAATGAGATAACTATATGTATTTTTATATATCAAGAACAGTACTGGGGAAATTATATGACAAAATGGAAAAAATTACTTGTGACGCGTTTCGTTCTTCAGGACTTCATCGGACTAAATTTGTTATATTGGTAGGACTACACATGAGCACAACTTGGTGCTGGGAATTTTAGATTTTTTTCTTATCTAAACGAATTTATTTGGAGCCTTTTTCTTTCCATCACTTTCGTAAGTAGGTATTCCACATTGAGATATTAAAAGTGCTGCCAGGAATGGTGAAATATTGTAAGAGCCAGGGTGCAAATTTACAGTAGATTGTCTACTGCAAGGTCTTCTACGGTAAATTTGCACCCTGGCTCTTAGCATTTTAACAACCCTGGTATATCTTCTAATATCACAGTGTATAATACCTACTTATAAAAGTGATGAAAAGAAAAAAAAAGAATCTACATGAATTCGGCTACATAAAAAAATTCTAAAATTCCCAACACCCCTCTGTCGCGCGCATGTGCAGTCTTACCAACATAACAAATTTAGGCTGATGACTTTATTTACATTATTCGGACTGTTATCCTCATCTTCATAGCCATATTCACAATGTTTCGGCCGTTTGACGTCCCGGTCTCCTTTGGGTTTTCGTTCACCGGGGTAGATTGTTCTAGTTCTACGTGCCGTGCCTCTTCCGGATGTCTCAGTTATTTCCCTTTAACTCAACATTTCAGACAGAGACAAATTTTTCCACTTTGTCATATAATTCATAACAATACAATTTACACTATCATTATCTTCATGTATTATAATCTAAAAACCACGTGGCAATCAAAGATTCAATAACATTCATAGTTTTATTTGCAGGAAGCATCCACAATAAATTCGAACTTTATGGGGAATTCGGCTATAATTATTCTTTGAAAAGTACTAAATTTCAGTACAGAGAAACACGGATTCAACTAGTAAAATAAACTGGATCTTTGTACTCAACGTCCCAAAATTAGCACAAGAAAAAGCACAAGGTCGCCTGTACCAAAACATCTGTAGGTCAGCGTTTTATTAAGTTAAATTTATATCTTAAATTGACGTTAGTTTATTTTTAAAAAAATACTTGTGGTAATTACGAAATCTATATTTCTTTCAGTCAATATGAAATAGGCGTTTTGATATTATCTGGTTTTAAACTTACAAAATATATACAAAGCAACAAGCGATTGGCTGGGTAATGATATCAAGTTCAAATCCAATGTATATTTTCCTTCAACCCATTTTTACAAGTCGGAACTTTTCTGATTCTTTGAGAAATTGAACCGAATCAAACTTTGATCTATTATCCGGTATCAAAGAAAAAAACAACCTCAAACGAAGTTATATTGTAATGGCTACTTGGACTTTCTTCCCAAACACGCAAGACGTAAAAAAAGTCGAGTTTGCAGAAACTTTTCACAAGAATTCTTGGTGATTTTATAATCATCTTGCCATCCTGAAAAAAAAAACCTTCTTTTCTTCCCCTTCATTTAGATAATAGAGATTTATATTATTGAGCAAAACAAAGAAAAAAAAACCTGAACTTTATATAATGACTGCTTGCAGAGGGAATCCTTTTGCAATATTTTTAAACCTGTTCACGATCTCTTCCCTCACAACAAGTAAACATTTTGTTTACTCGTCTAGTGAGTGTTGCGTGGTGGGGCAATAGATATCACCTCGGAAATCCGAGTTCGAATTTCTGTCGAGTTCTTTATATTCGCTTGCAAATACCCTTGAGAAAGGTATGAAAGCTATGGCTATATATTAAGACAGACTTTGATTGGCGACGAGTCTAGGAGAAGGAAAATTCTGAATTCACAAAACCCTATGTTGTTCTGGTGAAGCACGTACTATGCAGTAAAAGATTGTGTAGTTCACAATAACCCTTTGATCCCAATGTGGTCGGACCCCTTATTTTTTTACTTATTATTATTATTATTATTATTATTACTGCTTGGGTAAGATTTATTTTCAGAAAATAAGCATTTAAAAAAATAAATCTAATCAATAAGAAAAGCGAGAAGAAAGGACTAACTATTAGTTGTAAAAAGGGAGAGAATATATAGTTATTAGCAAAAGGGACAGTCCCAGATGCCAGTTACAAATTAGCGACAACTACATAAATTTAACTAGGAAGATAGATATTCAAACCAGCCTGGAGAGGACTGGGTTCCGCCAGATTATCTTGCGCAAGACACATCACTTACGGCTGCAGTACATGTGATGCCCCTACGACCCTCAGGGGTTACGGGACTTGTGATCGTGAGTTGCTGTTGTCAAATTGAACTAAAAACGAGAGAAGATAAATGCATTTTGTCTATAAGGTAATTGTGTCTACCGTTTATGTTTATGATTAGCATAGTACCCGTCAAATTGATCGGTTAATTTACATACATATTACGAAACAAAACAAAATCGTTAGAAATATAGTAGAGAGTGCTGAACTATTATGTAATATCAAACATTTTTATATGCTAGTGAATCTAGACAGTCTCCTCACAGATAGAGACGAGGTAACACATATGTAGTTCTACAGAAGGATGCTGAGAATGGCACGAATTGAACATGTGAGCAATGACGAAGTTCTGGGGAAAATGGAAACAAAATGATACTTACACTTAGATACAGAAAGAGGAGGTTGGAATTTCTAGGGCACATAATGAGGAGAGGGCTTTGCGAATTCAAACCTCACAGGACAGAGTAAAGGCAAGAGAGAAACAGTGATTAGTCTACCTAATGGGCTTGGGTGAGACAGAACAAGGACTGGGATGCTGAAAAAAACATAACTTACTAAGAGCTATATAGGAAGTTGTGGAGTGTCATCATCTCCCATGTTCGGAAGGAACACAGAATATAGAAGAAAACTCTACTTTAGATTAAAGAGTTGCTATTTGGCAGCATGGTATCGGTACTCTTTCGGAAAAGTTCTACTCTCTCTCTCCCCCCATATATATATATATATATATATATATAGGCTGGGCTAGTATCACACTTAAGAAAGCACGAATGAAATATGCCTTTCCCTTACCTGATTTTCTCCACAATAGCCCCTGCTAGCATGCTTTAGAGTAAAACGGAAGGCTGACCCTGATTTATCGTTCACGATAGGAGAGTCCACTATATATATATATATATATATATATATATATATATATATATATATATAAAAAACATAAAATGTCTTTTATATATATTAAGACATTTTTATGTTTATACATTCTTTTTATAGATACAAATATTTAAGTAAATGCTCTGTTTATAATAAACAATATTAAACATTTACCGGTCTGAATATCCGAGAAATATTCACAGAAAATATTCGTCCTCCGACAGGATTCGAACATGTATCCTATACGGATCCGTCATTTAGCTTGAAGTGCCTTAACCGATATGGCTACAGAGGGGCGTTCGGTTAGCAAGGTCGATTTTACTGTCTTTAAATTTCAATCTTCCATCAATCTCTCACGTACATTCATATCTACTCAAAGCGTATCCAAATGTAAACAATTATTTTAAGACATTTTTATGTTTATACATTCTTTTTATAGATAAACATAAAATGTCTTAAAAGTTGTACCACCTGCAATCCACGCTTACAGTACCTGGTATTCTCAAGCGGTCAGCCATCTAAGTACTGACTAGACTCGACGTTACTTAACTTCGTTGATCGTACGAGAAGAGATGTTTCGACGTGATATGGCCGTAAGCCTATTATACCACCCGCAATCCACGCTTACAGTACCTGGTATTCTCAAGCAGCCACCCATCTGACCTGGTTATTGTACGAGAACCGATGTTCCAACGTGATATAGTTGTAAGTTTATTCTTATTTTTATAGAAATTTTTATATAATTTCAGCTCAGTTTTCAATGTTTTTAATGAAACGTTAAAATAGACTAGGTGATTATTAATTAATATTTAAGGTTATCTTTGTGGTGAGCAGAAAATCGTCAAAGAAAGTCGTAAGTTCGGCTTGTGAGAAGGAGCGAATACCTACCTACTTACTACCTACCTACCTACCTCATTGACCGCAGTCGAGATCACATAGGTGATGGTCTGTGTAGTGTGAATATGTATATATGATACACACTACACAGCTAAATAAACAATCAGAACGTATTTAAAAATACAGACGCAAAAACAAATTCCTATGTTACATAAAAATCGATAGCTAAACATGAATATCTTGTAAAATATTATGTGTATGTAGTAAGTCATAATAGATGCGCATCCAATCTTACAGCACCTGGTATTTTCAAGTGGTCACCGATCTAAGCAACGACCAGGCTCGACGTGGCTTAACTTCGGTCATCGTACGAGAACAGGTGTTTTAACTTGATTTAGCCGTCAGCTGTATTGCTTAGAACTACGGAAGAAGTTATGGAGAGCCGTGATTACCCACGTCCTCATAAAAGAGAAATAAGAAGATTTTGCTTTTGTATGCGTACGCGGGTTTTATTGTAAACTGCTGACTCATCGATGGTCGCTATGGAGCACATTATTGTGACGTTGCTGACGAATGTGATGTCTTCATAATAAATATAACGAATATAATTATGTCAAAAGATTTTCATATAAAAATTACGACAAAGAATTCCACCCACGCTTTCTTTCTTTTAATATTTTCGTTTTTATTTATTTCCCTTCTATTTTACGCCGTTGGATAATTTCAGCTTAGCAGGAGGGCGCCACATGCGCATCGTATGTGAATAACAGCATTAAGAGTAGGCACATTTTTGAAGTAGCTGCAAGTCACGCTCTGGTGTTAGAAGAGCGGAACATGATTTGCGAGGTTCATTCGCTTGCGAGCTGCGTGTTCAACACGTACAGGCGTGCACAAATACACAAACCTGACCACCCACGAACACGCACTCTGACGCACACACATACACAAATTCCTCAAATAAAGTTTCTGAAAAGTGTATTTAATTTTTGAAAGATTTTGTAATAAAGAGAATTACATCGTGGTGATAGATGGCTAAAAATGACGCCCAAATATCAGCGATTTTGAGCAATTTCAATACAAAAACTTTCAAGTCAATTTAAATTAGTTTTGAAATGCAGTAAAGTATTTTTCTTATTGGAAATATTAATTCGCCATCTTGAATTTTTACGATCGTCTTAGAGTATGTATACTTATTGCTTTCATTCTAATTATAAGAGATTCTGTTTTGGAACGGTTTATCTTAAGACCTATTTCATCGATGATGATTGATTGTTCAGGAAAGCAGGAAACAAAGGGTTAATAAAGATATATATAATAAAATAATGAAAATGAAAGTAAATTCTAGTCAACAATTAATGTCAGTGATTGACAAGGTTTCATCCAATAAGAAAATGTAGGTGAAAATAAGTACTAGACAACAATTAATAATAGTGGTTGACAATGCTTCATCTAATAAGAAAATGATGACGAATGTAATTACTAATCAGAAATAATAATTATCTTAAAAGTCACCATCTTATAAAAATATGAGAAAAGTAATACAAATTATTTGTCTATGTTGCTTAAAAGATAACAGTTTCGTTTTTTTGAGGCGTTAAAATTTACAACCCATTTCTTGCTCCACTTAACAACTATATATATATATATATATATATATATATATATATATATATATATATAATATACAATTGATTTATTTACCTCTCTCTCTCTCTCTCTCTCTCTATATATATATATATATATATATATATATATATATATATATATGTATATATAAAACATTACTCGGCAACTGTCAAGTTCACTTCTCAGCCAAGATCTGAAGTGGAATCCGTACATACAATCCATTGCTAAGGATGCAAGAAAAATATTCGGCTCCCTCTGCTGCTCCAGTAAGTACCTGATCCCTCCTGCTTCCTACTACCTTTACAAGAGTCAGATCAGGCCTAAAATGGAGTACTGCTGTCATATTCGGGCAGGAGCCGTCTAGTCCCCACTTTCCAGTTTTGATAGGGTCTAAAAGCGTCCCCGTGTCCTTGTGGGTGATAAATTATTTTCCAGCCCGAAACTCCTCTCTCACAGACGAATCGTCGCAAGCGGTTTACTGTTCTACCGCTATTTCCATAGAAAGTGTTCAGAGAAACTACATTCCTTGGTTCCACCAGTTCTTCTCTTCACAGCTAGGACCCACAATGCTACGCGTACTGTAGCGGACCACCCTTATTCTCTTTGTGTTCTATTGGTGAAACATAAGTTCCCCTTGAGCAACTTCTTTTCATGAATCACCGCTTTGTAGAACCAACGCCCAAGATGATGTTTTCGCGATCACTGCAATCTTAACCTGTTCAAGATTAACTGTTATCTTCCCCACACATTCGTATAAAACGTGCCTCTTACTCTGTAACACTCTACCTTGAGTAGCTCAACTGAAATGCTGGGGTTTTTCTGACTACTAGCTAATCAATGTTAAAGTTGATGTAAAGATGACCTTCCGGTACGACAAAGCTGTCTTGGATAGCTTCAGATCCATTTTAGAAGCTCTCCACTCGGCTTTCTTTATAAATTGAGCTGTTTACTGCATCTCAGACATTGAGAATTTTATCCTAAAGAAACATTCCAACAGAAACTAAGTATTAAGTAATCTTGAATCATGCCAGATTGTGATGCAACATAGCACATCGTAATAATCAGTAGTATCTCTACCACAGTGAAAGATGTAAGGGGTACTTTTCAGGTATTCTAGACTGCTCGCAATCAATGCTAGAGAGTTCTAGAAAACGCAAAGAGCAACTATTCACAGTCTAATTTCAAGTTTGAAAACAAAAGTCTTGAATCCTGTAAGTTCCTGAAAATCTCAAATAAAATTCTCAATGTAATCAAAGCGCTTTTACCAGCTATCATAAATATTCCGGAAGTTATTACATCCTCATATAATAAGGTAAGGTTCTTATTAATGAACTTTGCTTCTAACTCAACATTATTATTTATCTGGGGAAATGGCAAGGCGTAACGGCCGTGCTAGGTAACCAAGAAACAAATCGAATTACAATATGATAGAAAAGTAATTATTCAGAAAGCAATGAGACTCTTTAGTTGTGCCCTTACAATATATAAAAATATATTTCCTTCTTCTTCACTGTGACTTTTCCCTTCAGGAATTAGGTGGTCATGGCTCTCCATGGCTGTTAGTAAAGTGTGTCCCTTTGTTATCTTCCTTAAACCCCGTTCTGTCATCCATTTACATAAGCTCGTTAGGTAGGTGATGCTCTGCTTTCCTCTGTCACTCTTGCCTTCAGTATGCCCTCTGAAGATTGAATTTTCCAAGCCCTCTTTCCTCATTATGTACACTAGAAATTTCAACCGTCTCTTTCTGATACTATCTGTCCGTTTTGTTTTCATTTCCGCTAAAAATTTGTCATTGTCGATGCTGTTCTCATCATCCTTCTGTAGAAGCAGATTTCTCTTATCTTGAGTCTCGTCTCCATCTCTGATAAGATGGTCCAACATTCACTACCATAGAGTAGTACTGATATTACATAACAGTATTCTTTTCTTTCTGTTGCTCCAAGTCTCTTCTTCATCTGTGAAAAGATTATCCAGCATTCACTGTCATAAGGGAGGACTGATATTACGTAACAGTTCAGTACTCTTTTCTTTATTTCTGTTGCTTCAAGTCTCTTCTTCATCTGTGAGGAGATTGTCCAGCATTTACTGCCATATAGGAGGACTGATATTACGTAACAGTTCAGGACTCTTTTCTTTGTTTCTGTTGCTTCAAATCTCTTTTTTCATCTTTGAGGAGATTATCCAGCAGTCACTGACATATCCAGCATTCATTGCCATAGAGGAGTACCGATATTACATAACAGTTCAGTCTTCTTTATTTTTTTGTTTCCAATGGTATTTTCCTATTTCTTAATACTTTGCTTATTTACATGTTGGGCTGTTTTGCTGACAACCGTACATTCTTACAGATGATCTTTAGTCCTTTCTTCTGTCCTTTCCTTTAATCAATGTAAAAAAAAATGGTTGCTTCAGAAAATCCATAGACTAATTGGCCAATACAAATGGATGCAAAATGGTATATTTGTATGTAACCTGATTGCTTCTGCAAGCAAGCGCATCCATAAGCATACAAAGGGTGTTTCAAAAAGTATATACACATTTTGAAGCTATCTCAAGAAATAATTAAAGCAAGTGGAACCAACTATATCCAATTTAAATAATGCATAGGAATACAGTGTTTATTATAAAGTAGTTTAAATGCCCTCCTATCGAGCGGTAGTTAAGTTAGCTGCTGCTAAAGGTCCTTGATTGGGCCTTTGGCTTGTTCAGGAGATTGAGAGTGCATAAATCTTTGCATATTCTCAGCTTTGGAAGCTTTTTTTTTGCTGCTGTTTGATCTGGGTTTTCTTATGCATGGGACTTTTTTTTTCCTGCAGTCTTGACTCTTTTGATTGCAATCAGATCCTCTGTTGGCGGAGATTTCCTTTTGCGACGCATACAGCTGCCGTTTGCGATAGGCAGCAATAAACTACAGAAGAACTCAAAATTGTTTGCTGCATTTAAGTATTAATATTTAGACTTACTTTTTAAAAGTTCAACGATAATTCTTCTATCACCACTTAATTTAAAGACAATTTGATGTACGTAGGTCCTTACTTTACGTACAAACAATTATTTTTATTTCATGGGTGGCTTACGCTGGATTTAAATATTTCGATTATTTCCAAATTTTTTACCGAGTTATAAAAATTGTTATCGTACAAAAAATTCTTCGCGAAGAACCACGTAAAAACCACTGAAAACAATCGCACTAATAAATACTTGGGAATTCAAAATCTCAGGTTTTCGGGTCCGGATCAGACCCGGAATGGTTTTAATTTTCTCTCGGAGTCGGCCTGATTCCAAAATGGTATAACATATTGGGCTACGGCCTCCAAGAGTAAAGTGGAAAAAGTTTGACACACTGACATTCGCATTTATTTGTTTAGATGAAGGGTGTTAAGATTTTGTTATTACATGTTTTCAAATTGATGTCTGTTTTGTTCCAGACATTGCTGACAACTGGACGCAGTGGAATCACAATCATCAATCAACATTTCGATAGAGTTCTTGGACTTCTATGAAAACTTCCCGTCACCCGTTCTTGCTTCACAGGACGTGGTTGAGATCCGTGGTCTTCCGGAACTGTTCTTGTGCATACTGTATACAGTATCATCGGCATCAAACTTATCTCGTAATTCGTGAGATTGTAAGCCGCGTGGGTGGATCTGAATGAAACTCTCTTCGATACCACCTTTGAACTTCAACTGCATTTTCGTACTCTTGTAAGATTCCAAAATTAAATTATTTTTTTTTAACGATGCGAGTAAATTATGTCGGTGAATCGTATCAATGTA